AAAATATATAAATTACAAAACCATAGTAAATACTGTATAATAACATAGGCCTAACACATTTAAATTTACTGTTTATAGTCATGCAAAATCGTATTAAAAATGTAATAACTTGATTATTTTTTATGTTTGGTTTGCGGCGTATTTCAATTAACTTATTCGTTATTTGTACTATTTTGTTAAATTATTTAATTAAATTATATTTATTATATATCATGCATTATATATAATAAATGATAAGAATGTATGGAGTTTTTTCTTTTACTATCTGGCAAGCTGACTGAGCAAATACTCACAAAATTTAAATTAAAACGATAGAAGGAACAAGTAAATAAATTGAAATACATCCCAAGAATATTTAATAGATCAGTGCAAAAACCGAGTATTAAATAAATTGAAATAATTGAGTAAATAAACTGAAATACATCCCAAATAACAGTACCAAGAACGAATAAGTTAATTGAAATACGCCGCAATTAACGCACTACATTCACTGAGAGACGCGCTTGGCGTTCCATAGAAATGACCGGTGGCTCAACTTGTCGGCGGCTCAACCGTCCTTGTTGATCGCCAATGGTCTTTTTTGTTGTTGTTGTTAAATTATTATTATTAAATTATTATTATTATTATTATTATTATTATTATTATTATTATTATTATTATTAATATTATTACTAGAGGGTGCGCTCGCTTACCAATATGATAAGATAGGTTGCATGATTTTGAAAGCAGTTTCATATCATTTTTCATACATAAGAATATTTAGAATTTTACACTAAATTGAGATGAACAGCAGTAGTAATAGGTATAAGGACATATCTTGTATTCTCTCCATTCCCTTGAAAAACGTTTTGGTTTGCACTAAAATTAAAATTAACATGATTTGCAATATAGTATAGGTAGGTCTACATGTGCCATAACATATTTTGGTCGGGGCAGCTAGAAAGCAAAGTTTTACAGAAACTCATTGAGACACGAAAACTGACTGTGCTTGAAGAAAATCTACTGTGTTTGTTAACCAACCAGGGATGGATCCAGAAATTTTCTGACGAGGGGTCCCCAATAAGTACTGTATCTACACCCACATCATCCCCACCATGATTTGGGCTAAGGACAATGTGAGCAAATTGTAAGAATAGGCCCCTCAAGATGCTTGGAAATGGCATCTTTATATGGTAAAAATGCTTTTTCAAAGCAGTTTTCCTCGAAAAATTATTGACTACCACCCTACGGGAGCTATGCACCCCCTCCCTTAGACACCCCTCCCATCACGGGCAAAGGTTTAATCAATTAGCTATAGTCTGGGAGTCGCAAAGCAAATTATGATTATGGCACCTGGAAATGGCACTCATTCAGACTTAAAATTTGAATATTTTACCACCATTTAAAAGAAATGTTTACAAATGCAGGGGGTCCTCCAGCTGGGCAACCCACCCCCAGTGGACTAATATGATTTATGTCCTACAGTTGTCACACATTATGCTATTTTAGATCAGGGTGCTATAGAGTAAGGACCCTACTGGACCCTATGGGTCTGGGGCCTTTGGATCAAATTTTAAAATAGGACCCTAGGCGCTCGCAAATGGCATTCCTAGATGGTAAAAATGCTTTTTCAAATCAGTGTTCCTCGACAAATGACTTCCTTCCGACAGGAGCTATGCTCCCCCTCCCTTAGACACCCTTCCCCTCCCTTAGACACCCCTCCCTTCATGGGCATCGCAAAGGTCTAATCAAGGACCTATAGTCTATTCTGTACTGGGGAGTCACAAAGCAAATTATGATTATGACACCTCTAGATGCCCGGAAATGGCACTCATTCAGACATAAAATTTGTATATTTTTTCTCAATTTTTAAATTTATTTTGACAAAAGTAGGGTGACCCTGGCCGGCCGGATGGGCACCCCACCCCCACTGGATTAATATGATATGCCATACAGTCGATGTCAGAGACACATGCTATTATTTATTAAGAAAGCCATTGGGGATCAGGGTGCCATAGAGCGAGGACTCTACTGGACGCTCATGGGTAGGGGAACTAAAAGGATCCCTAAGGGCCGATGGCCATGTGGACCACCACACAAGAGCGCATAGGTGTTACGCCACTGAGCATGCATAGCTGTTCTACAGCTGGGGTACTACATCCTAGCTAAAAAAACTCAGTTTTTAGGTATCTGTCTTTTGGCCTTTTTTACATCCTGATTTATGAAATTGTTGGAGAAAATCGCTGTTGGGGATATAGTGTTGTGTTCGTCGTCAAACAATGAATAGAAAATTCAAAATTAGTGAGTGGTAAAATAATTTAGTTCTCCTTTCGCCCATTGCTGGATCCGCCGCTGAACTCATGGAGTACACTTCGTTTTTTTCCCCCCTATTACTTTTTTCCCTTTAATTCAATTTTTGTTTTCAGCGTGACTGACAAGGGATGTGGGTGGGACCCCCGCTGGATCCACTCCTGCCAAATGTGCCTGAAACCCGAATGTGCTTGAAAATTGACTGTGTGTTTAAAATTTGCCTTTTTGGTGTTCCATATAAAACTGCAGAAATTAACATTGAATGTTGCTAGTTTGGCAATCCATATAAAACCACTAACTGAATTCAGAAATACGTAAATAAACACCATTTTGCTTCAGTAAACGGTACGTAGCAGTGAAAAACGTACTGTAAAATTCATTATTCTGCCCACAATTAATCTGAACTGTGGACTGATATCACTTCGCGCGAACAGGACTTGTTGTTACAGATAGAATCCTAAATGTTTATTTAGGCCCTCAGTTGTCTGCTTTCAGGCTTTGAAATAAGCATAATTATAATATAGATTATTGTTACTATTATTACTATTATTATTATTACTATTATTATTATTATTATTATTATTATTACTATTATTATTATTATTAGTATTAGTATTATTATTTTATTATTTTTATTATTATCATCAGTGTCAGTGAGATACAGGTATTCATCATCATCTTCTTCATCAACATCATCATTATCATCATCATCTATTCAATCACTAATAGGCTTAGGTATAGGTAGGTATATTAAAAATAGGCGAAGCATACATTGGACTTGCGAGAAAACTAAATGTATTTTTATATCAAAATGTCTTGACTACCCATTTGGCATTAAGTTATACATGTTAAATTATGATCATTTTCTTTACATCTCCAGATATGGCAAGGGGTTTGGACTTGTAGGACCAATTCTTGGTGAAGATAGCCCACTCAACTTTCCAAACAGTATATTTGGAATAGTTTTTTATTTTCTACAGTTTACTTTAGGTAAGTTATTGCCATAAGCCATGTATAACAAATACTTTATTTGATTTTTTACTCTATCATAACATACAACACTGCCTGATAATAAACAAGAGTATCCCCTTTCTGGTGATATACAATACAAAGTCAGAAACAAGTTCAACATTATTTAAGGTGTAATTACACACAACTGTAATTATTAACAAGAAAACAATTTCCCCACACACAATAAGGCCATTAAAATTACAGGTCTCCCTCTAATTAAAGACCACCTCCAATTAAAGACCACTTTTTCTGTGGTCCCAAATTAACAAATGTCTATTAGCTGCTAAATACCTAGACTTGCCACAAGTCTCTTATTTGTTATTATATTTCTCATTCTGGACAGCGCCACCAACGAGAAAGTTAATTTACAGATAGACGAAAAAAGAAATCGAGTATGGGACGCCAATTAAATTAGGTATGACGCGCACTAAGTGCAATAAAGAATGAGTAACCTAAAATTAGGGCCTGGAACCAAGGCTACTAAATACCATGGAAACCCCAGTCCCAAAAGTGATCTTTAATTGGAGGGGAAATCTGTAATTGCTAGTTCCACATCCCCGCCCTCATCAATTTTTGGAGCCTCATGAAAATATTTACTATTTGCTAATAAGAAAAAACTTTTTCCCAAAGAAAATAAAAATAATGATGATCTGAAAAATTGTTGTCAAGGCCTATGTTGAGTTGGAAACAAATGGCAGAATACATCACAAACATACATTTTTTGACTTCTTTTTAAATCTATTTTTAAATACTGTAGCAAATACTGTACTGTATTAATTTTATTTTATTTGACCTAAACAGTAACTTAGTATACACTAGATAACAGATTTATGAATTGATTGATTATAATTTGTTATAAATAATTCCAAAAAACAACTTACTACTAAGGATAAGATGATATGAATACTGTTAATATATTTTTTTGCAGGTCAGATACACACTGTTGATGCTGTTTGGGGTTTGATCTTCCTGTCAGTGTGTTCAATATTTGGTTGCATCTACTTAGCGTACATCTTGATGTTTGTTCTCCAAGATGCTTGTATAGTCTGTATCTCCACATACATTGTCAACGCACTTCTTCTGGTGCTGAACGTTTTAAAACTTAATGTCGTCAAAAGACTCTCTATTAAAAAGCGAAAATAATGTGCAATCATTTGTTTGAAAATACTTACAGTATATATGCATACAACCTGTACCTAAGGGGGGTGGGGGTTTGAGGATCATATTCCAAAGATTTATTTTTTTATTTTATTTTGTATTTATTTCCTTCACATCCAGCAGCAAGTACACTTGCCACTTAAGTGATGGAATGATCCTTTCTAAACCAAGCCTAGGCCTAGGGAGTGGAGTCGTTTTTTGGTTTTGTGAAAGTCCTGTAACAAGAATAGAATCCAGGGCCCTTGGATTAGAAGGCAAGCATCTGAACCTCTAAGCTATTCAACTCCACTCCACTACATTTAAAACATATTTACAAGACAGGATTGAGTTTCAGTCAAGATTTAACGTCTTTTTTTTTTTAAGTAGTCTTGTGTAAGACGATTATCATGTCCACTGGAAGTTAACTTGTTGATGCATATACACATACAGTATACAATAAATCAATTTTAATAATAATGATATCAAAAAATGTTTTGATTTAAAAAAAATTACCACAGTCAATTGTATTATTTTCTAATCTATATAATGATAAATAAATGTATGTAATTATGTAATTTATAAGTTGCTTATAATATAATAACATATTTCTTTAGGCTGTTTTGTAATGGTCTTTTTAAGTCTTCTTGGACATGTGCCCACTGCCTAAATGGACCTACCAATTCTTGCCTGTAGCAAGTAAAATTTAAGATTTTAGTAAGGTTTTCGACCATGTTGCCATACTAAAGTAATCTTCAAAACTGTAGCAACAACAGACGTCAAATACAATAGAACCACTATTAAGTGGACACCTTTGGCACCAATAAATGTCCGCTTAATAGGGGTGTCTTCTTATTAGGGGTACACCTATTTAGGGGAAACTAAATCGTGAAATTGTCTGTCAATATGGTTTGGGCACGTAATCATATGGGGTGTCTTCTTATCAGGGGTACACCTATTCAGGGGAAACTAAATCGTGAAATTGTCTGTCAATATGGTTTGGGCACGTAATCATATAGCAATGGCACAGATTCTTAAACACTGAAATTTACCTCAGAATGTCTATAATATAATTGAACTAAATTGTAACAAAATATGAAAATAAATGAAATTATAACAACAAAAGTATTGTTTTCTGATTCAAGTGCTGTGTTATTTTGAGGTTATTGCAGTTGTAGTGATGCAATAATATAGTGATAAGATAGAAAAATAAAAGTAGTCCACCTTAATAGAAAATGTGATTTGACCATTTAACACACATGTCCCTGTCTCCTTAAGGGTGTCCCCGAACCCCCCTTGAGGTGTTCCATTGCGAACGCATGTCCTTTTGCAGTGGGGTTGTGCAGGAGGACTTCCCCCCCACGGAACCCTGGCAATTAATTTTTAAAATCTTCTTTATATTGACTCTAATAAGTTTGGGATTCCTCTCGAAACAGTCGCGGATCCAGAAATTCAAAATAGAGGGAAGCCTGGGAGACATTAAATACATCACAAAACGCTAAAAACACCGGAGTGGCCGGGGGCTTCGCCACCACCCACTGCTGGGGCCTTTTACAGTCCCCAGCACCTGGCTCATGACCTTCGTTATGTCACTGATCCCATATTTACAATTTTCGCTACCCACCCCTCGAAGATGGGAACCACCCTACTCCTCTGATTATTGGGGGTGGGGGGGTTTTAATTTGGATTATTAATTTTCTAATCATGTTGTTGAGCTCAATTGGAATATATTATATGGGAAAGAGCAGGCCTATGAGAACATTAAACTCTCGCTTTAGGGTCATCACCAACCTCCAACAATGTCACCATCGATGGTAGCTTGCTTCTTCATTTTATTGAACAGGCTGAAATTAATGCTACTAAATGCCGATTTAACAAATCGCTTCTTCATCCATTTTATTGCATCAATATTGAAACTGCAAATTTAAAATGGAAAGAGCACAAAAAAAAAAAGAACGACTAATGCATTCTCCAAAAGAATTTAATCAATCTGAATTAACTATCTTTAAGATTGCTATTAGAATAATGCCCATGTCTTATCAGAATCAAAATTTAAGGATTTTGCTTTATTATACACACCTAAAATTTTTATAAATCTTTTCCCCCCTATTTTAAGCCATGTACGTGGTCCGAGCAATTATATATCAATGAACCTATCTATCCTTCACCAATTCTTGTTCTTTTTAGCAGCAGTGTATCTAGGAGTCTTGAATGGGGAGCGCAAAGGTCATAAGGAGGGGGACTCGATGATTATGTGAGGGCTCTAACTCGCAAAATAAGGCAATTTTAGGTAATTTGTAACTACTTGAGCGCGATTGTTTTGGAGGGGGGGGGCCGATAAGGGGTCACGAACATTTTTTGGAGGGGCGTGGGCCTCCCCCTCTCCGCGCACCCACATAGATACGCCACTGCTATTTAGTTCCAGTCACTTTTTAAAATCGTTCAGTCGTTTCAATAAAAGTTAGCATTTCCATTATGTCATTTTCTATGTATTTTGACCTTTGACTTCTTATACATCTAAAAGGAAATGCATTTAAGCATATCAACTTTTATAATTTCTATATGACCCTTATTATCACCGACTAAACAGAAGCTATCTTAAAACCAGGAACTATAAATGTTCAAACATATATCTCATTCACCGTTCCCGATTTTTTCGACAAACACCCTTTTTTGTGTCTCAAAATTGTGTTTCTCCGGAGCAGGGGTGGCGCTAGAGGGGGGCCCCCCGTCGGGGAGAAAAGGCATAATTCGTAGGGGAGAAATTTTTTTTATGTATTTTATACATTAGTATACTCTAAAATCGATTAAATAAGCCTTTGAAACCCCTAAATTGTTAAAATTTTCGGGGCTCCGCCCCCTGGACCACTTTTGAAAGATTTTAATCGAAGCTCCACCACACCCCACTTTGCTTTCGTCGGGGAAATCTGACCTCTCGTCGGGGCACCTCTCCTCCCTCCCTCGCTTCCTCACCCCCTCCCCCCGTCGGGGACCTCGACCTCTCCGTCGGGCAAATCCTAGCGCCACCCTTGCTCCGGAGCCTGGCTTTAATACCACTAACTGTACACCATAACGTCATTGTACTTTTGATTCTATTCATGCTATTCATCACTAAACTTTACTTACACACGATAACACTTCAACACAAAACGAAGTCTACAAAAATAGAGAAAATGTCATGCACCAAATCACTACAATTTTGACATAAAAATCGCAGTTACATGTATTTAGCAATTTGTCATGTGTTGCCTACAGGTACTGCTACATTTATCTGTGTCGTTCAATTGTGTTGATGTGGGCATATTTGCATTAATATACATATTGTAATTATTCTTTATGAGCGCAATGGGGATATACGAGTTGAAAAGTAAACTGTTCCATTTAGCGTGGTGAAGGCAAGTTGGATGGAACACTATTTTTCGACAAAGGAAAATAATCTTTCCATTCTACAATAAAAACATTTATTATGGCCTACATTTTTCTTATATAATACACCTAAAATATATTTTTGGCATTTGATATTTTATGAAAAATAAAGTTAAGTTTACCCTCCTTCCTAATGGAACAGTATCTTGTTTCAACAAATGAAACGTTGTAGGATTTACATAAAATCGCTACACGCTCGCTGGCAGCATTCGACAAAAACACTTTACAAGGACAGTTTAGCGATTTTTAAACCATGCTTTCGGTGGAGGGCAAAATGAGAAAATGAATGAAAATAAACTAATTACATGAACAAGTATGCAAATAAAAATGGAATAGTTTGCTTTCAAGGTGTAAAACCCAATGTCACATAATGACGACAAATTAATGACAATGATCTGTTTCGATGTGTTATAGATTGATGACAGATAGGCCTACTCAATGCCATGTACCGGTATTACGATAATGAATAAGTTTGATTAATGTTTTGCTGCTATACATTGTGACCATAATTTACTGGTAACCGGAAACTGTTTAAGTACCGTATGAATGTGTTTATTGAAACGTAAACAAATAGGTAACTGAAAATAATAATGACAGGCATACTGCGGGTGGGGTACAGGGTATGCTTGTAGCCGGAGGAGCACGGCCAATAGTTACATATTTTTTGTTGGCTGAATTCCGTAGAACATTTTGTTCCGCCGCACATGGGTGCAATTTCCACATTACGCGTTCTGAATGCTGTTCCACGCGACCCACACGTGGAAGGGCACGCTGACCCATCACTCCACCATGTCATAACCATAGAGCTATTAATTATTATGACATCCTGAAATTGTAGAGACGTGTTTATTGAAGCTTTATATACATATAGGAAAAACATAGTGACAAGTATGAAATAGGAATGTGCAGAGGGTGTTTGTAGCCACTGGTTCCACTGCACATCACCCCATAGTTACATGACTGATGATCGACGAATCCGTAACATTCTGTTCCACCACACGTGGGTGCTATGTACACGTCACGCGTTCTGAAGCGTGTTCCATCCCACCCACATTTTTGGGAGCATGCTGACCAATCACTCCACGAGGTCATAACACAGTCTTGGATCTTGCACTCACAACACTCTCCACTGTATCCTGGACAGGTACATTTGTCACTATAATCGTCCAGATTTCCGCCGTTGTAGCATACCCTATTGCATTTCTCTTCCTGGGTAACGATCTCGGAACACGGGGCTCCACCGCAAGCAGGTTGCTTGGCCACATTACGTGTTCTAAATCGCGTTCCTTGTGGTCCACACTCCCGAGTACACGCTGACCATTCACTCCACGGGGTCATTTCACAGTCCTGTATCTCGCATTCGCAACATTCTCCGCCGTAGCCACTTTCACATATGCATTCTTTAGTAGTAGAATTTGATGGAATTCCTCCATGATAGCAAAGAACATTACAAGCTCTTTCCTCGATAGTTATCAAAGAACATTTTTCCGAGTCAGCAGTGCCACATTCATTCTCATTTGTCATAATTTTATACTGGATACCTGGGCCGCACTCTCTAGAGCAAGGTGTCCATTCAGTCCGCTGATAATACAAACGGTGATAGGCGTAACACAACATAAAACTGAATGACAGTATGGAGAATGATACAATTAGGACAATCCTCAATTTTCTGGAGTGGTTTTTATGATCCATTTTGAAGTTAAAATCAGAATCAGAATCAGAAAACTTCATTGTCTTCAAAGACGCAATTGCTTTGCTCGAAATAAATCCTTTAAATAAAAGGTTAGATGGTTAGAACGACGTGTACAAAACACCAGTGGAAAATCCATAGAAAAGTCCCCCATCTCATTACGTCTTTGGAAATACCAAAGAGTATAAAAAGAACTGCAGTTTTAACTAGCTGAGGGCGGTGTTTATTTTGCGTACCTCTTTACACAACAGTGAAATCCATCGTCTGTTGCAGCGACATTTTGGGTTGATAAAGAGTTTATCCAAGGTTGACGATTCAAGATTGCATTTATTGTCATACACAAGCAAAGTACATGGAATTTGCGTTCCAGAGCAAGGAATACACAAAAATATACATACAGATAAATTACAAGACAACTAGGCCTATGCTGTATAAATATAAGAATATAAAAAATATACAGGAGTGTTGGAGACATCCTGTTACGCTCTCCCTTTATAGTAAGAGAAAATATAATTTAACTATTTTTACCAGGGTCGTCGGAACC